CACATACACACACACATACACATGTTAAAAACCATATGTTTTCGCATGACATACACCTAGTTTAAAACTAAATGTTTTTGTATGTACACTCACATTTACAAATATATACGTACATATAGCATGTCTTGTTTTTGTGCGTGCAGGAATAGTGCCATCTACACCAAACCAAAACGAAACAATGGGCTGGTCTACCCAAGAGGGAGGCTGCTTCGTGGGCGCACGGAGGAGGAGACCAAAAGGAGGAGGAGGAGGAGGATGGGGAGNNCGGCAAAAGCAAAAAACAACAGTGTTATTGTATGTTTGTTATTTTTGTGCTTGTGTCTTCTCCTTTTTGTTTGCTTTGCCTCCTCCCCTTTCCCACAAGGGGCCTATAGGAGCCGACCTCTCAGCCCGCAGGGATGCATCCCTTCATAAAGCTACACCTTCAAACCCATCTCGCTACTTAAATACGCCGATCATGGACGTTCATTGCTAGTGTTATAAGACTGTTGGTGCTTGATTGAAAGTTATAGTCGTATTTGATCACACATTTTAAATGGAATGTCTACTTTAACTAAACCCACAAACTGCAGGCCTTCACAATGTCCTTTTCTGAAACCCTAANNAAACCGTAAACCGTAAGCCCCAAACCCTAAGCCCTTAAACCCCCTTGAATACTCGGGAGAACGTGAGTGTGGTTGCCAATTTTTTTGTTAGGGTGCCGTACTGGTTTGAGGCCTCAAAAAGGACCCGAATTTAGAGAACTACCCTTACCGAAACCCTATGGAAACCTTTATAGATCCCGGCAAGGAACCCGAAAAGAAAGACCCTACTGTTGATCATAAAAATTCTGTATTACCTTAAGGACCCTGAGCTATGGGAATGACGGTATATCCCTTATTATGGGTAATGCAGGATTTATACTATCAATCGCAATTTAGAGAGGTACCCATGTGGAGTTCGGCCTCCACCTTCTGGAGAAGGCCGGCCATCGACCGGTGCACAAAGAAGACCTGGGTTTAGGGGTTTAGGGCTTAGGGGTTTGCGGGTTTAGGGCTTCAGGGTTTGGAAAGGGTAGGGCTTCAGGGTTTAGAGATTCGCGGATTTATTAGTGCAGGAGTTTAGGGGTTTGGGGGTTTGTGCGTGCAGAGGGATCTTGGTTGTTTAGGATTTTTCGGTTTTAGGGTTAAGGGCCAGTTAAGGGTGTTATTTTCGCTTCTTCGGATTTAGGTGTTTATTTGAAACCAATACGGTTTGGCATTTGGTCAGGGGTTGGGGTTTTCAGGTTGCAAGCTCTCTACACCTGAGGCCCTCTAAAGCCCATGGAACTTTAATACTGTTGATGATATAAATCCTGCATTACCTTAAGGACCCTAAGCTATGGGAATTATGGTATATTCCTCATTATGGGTAATGCAGGATTTAAATGTATATCATCAACCGTAGCTCTTGTAGCATCCTCCAGGACGGAGGCTCCCAGAATTCGAAGAGGGTTCGTGGGCTCAGTGGACTCTCTAAGTGGGAATTCTAAGGACTACAGAGTTGGTAATTTTTGCGACCCTTGCATTACAAACATTCCTGGTCCCTGAACCCCAAAATTCTCAAAATCCCAAACCCTAAACCCCTGAACCCTAAACCCTAAAACCCACCCTGAACCCCTCGAACCCCTCGACAGCTCCGAGGGGCGTCCCTGTGGAGCTGCGTGGCGTTGACGTAGCCCCGGGAGGTGAGGAGCTCAGCCACCTTCTGGAAACTGTTGTCCTGAGCTTGGCTAGGATCCCCAGTAACCCCTCAATAATAAGGGTACCCTTTTTCCTAATATTCGGCTTTAATAAGGAGACCCCCCAAACAAAAAGGCCAAAAGGGTACTACTGGGGAACCTAGGCTTGGTTAGAGTTTTTAGGTTTGGGGCTTTCGGGTTTGGGGGTTTCAGGATGTGGGGGTTTTTGGGGGTTTAGGCTAGGGCAGCGAGGCTGTTGTCCCGGGATCTCTTGGGGCTTCTGGGATGTCAGGGTTGAAGGGTTTGGGGCAGCCTCTGGGGGTTTTGGGCCTTGGGGTTTAGGGCTTTAGGGGGTTTTCGGGCCTCAGGGTTTAGGCTTTAAGGCTTTGTGGCTTTAGCATGTAAGGTGGCCTTGGACTTCGACGGCTTTCTAAGGATTCTGGGACGGGGTTGTTCGCCAGACAGGTTCTATGCGGCTTATCCTGGGGGGCTTTCTGTACCGGTTTATGAAGATAAGAGCAGTACCTGTTTTGCAGGCCTAACTATCAAGTTCCCATGAGCATCTAGCCCAAACTGTCACCCGCTCTGCACCCACCCTAAACCATAAACCAGTTCAAGCCCTCAACCAAACCTAAATTCAATCCTCAAATAGAGACGATTTCTTGGTCTAAAGCCTCGACATCGCAACCTGCTTTGGACCCTATATTCCTTATAATAAGGCCCCAAACCTTATTCCGTCCAAGGAGTCTAGGGTCTCTTCTACTTGTTAAGGTCCTTATGTTGAAAGCTAGTTTCGTTCCCTTCGACGAGGATGGTGTCGATGGACACTTGGTTCCAGTCGATGCCTTCTAGGCAAGCCAGCTCAGCTCCTTCAACCTTAGTAAGTGACGATCAAGATTTCGCCTAAACCCTGAACCCCTAAACCCTGAATCCTAAACCCCTGAACCCTAAACCCTACACCTTAAACCGGCCAGGAGGGGCTGTAAACTGCGGTTACTTAGCCAACAGGTCGAGGCTACACTCTCATAACTCATTGACTCTAGCTCCAAACTCAAAACAGACAGGTTTAGGATTTAGGGTTTAGGGTTTACTAGCTCTAAACTCAACACAGAAGCCTAAGCCCTAGCCTCAAACCTAAAGTCTAAAAGCCAACCCTAACCACAACAAACCTGAACGCTAGAGCTGGAAGTTAGTCATACAGAGTCCTGAAAAACCAGAGTAGGGCTTCTGATCTGGGTACGTGATAGCAGAAGCACGTGAGGGCTATATTGCTGTAGGATCTGTTATCATAACCGGACGTGGCTTGCAGTAAAAATACATTTAGGCATACAGGGAGATTCTATTCATGACTCATGTGTCCGACGTCTCGAACCCCTAAACACAACAAAAAGCATCTCAGGTGCACCCGAAGCAGCGTCCAAGCTCATGAAGTCGATGTGTGTCATCTCATGAGCTCTGAAGACATCCGACAGTGTCTGGCACGTCATGGTGGTCCTCTTTCCTCGGTCTCTGAAAGGCAGGAAGCGAAAGGTGAAGCCTTGTCATATGGACTGACTGCGTCACTGATGATATAAAGAAACCCTAGCCAGAAGAAGCAGCAAAGATTACCAATGTTGACCAGGTTTCCTCCAGTAGCTGTCTTCTTGAGAACCTTCCTTTCGCTTTCAATTCCTCCAAAGGGTCCTTGCAATACGAAAGTAACATCCTTCTTTTGCTCTGCGATGCATGTCTTCACGACGGCGCAACGGCGCTTCCTTGCAGACTCCGAGATTGACCACCAAACTAGGGGGAAAGCCTTGATCCAACCCCTCTAGCAGAAGACTTCAAAAAGGTTGGAAGTAGGGTTATGGTCAAGATATGGGGATGGTCCAAACTTGACACCCATACCAATGTGGGTGACAATTCCCGGATCAAGCCGAAACCCATTGTCACGAAGAAATGATATTGGAGGCTCGTGATCAGCTCGCTGTGGTAGTCGGTGTTCGGCTCGATGCACACACCATCAAATTTCAAGCAGTGGTCCGCGAAGTACGTGTTGCTGATGTATCCTCGCTCGAACCGTCCGATGATCCCTACAATCTATTTTAATGTCGGGGTGCTAGTTCGATCATGCCAGTAATATAGGGGCCTTGATAGTTAGACCAGGGTTTTAATCGTATATGTAGTATGAGGAATAATATGGCTAAATGCCCAGGCTTCTATATTGGATTTGGGTGCAGGGCTCTGGGCTCTTGGACGTCAGGGCGTCTGGAAGCTCCCCTGGGTTTTGGGTGTGGTGTCCCAGAGACCCCAACATCCCTGAACCAAGTTGCCAAGGGCCTCTACAACTTATGAGTAGGTTTAGGGCTTAATTAGGGTTTAGGGGTAATCTGTAACTTATAAGTAGGTTAACCAGCATAGCACCTTGATAACACAGGGTGCCCTGTTTTTGTGACTACTCGGTTTTCATCAAGAGACCGCAAAATGAAAGTGGGAATAGAGTAATCCTGCGAGACTTATTTTATTTAAAGATCCCTGCCATCATTTCAGGAATAGTGTTACACTACGGTCGCTTAGAAAGGAGCCCCACCATCACCATCTGATGTTTCTGGCATGCAACACACGCAAACCATGGGCCGCACGTTGCAAGATCCCAACTACCACAAGGACCATAAGGACTCTCAATTAGGGTTTAGGGTTTAGGGTTTAGGGTTTAGGGTTTAGGGTTTAGGAACAAGTTACCCGTGGATTGAGGAAATCCCCCCATGTGCAGCCAGGGGGCGGAAGTCATGTGCAGCCAAGTCCACATAGACACCAGGCCGTGACAAATGTCTCCACAAGACCGTGTAGAGGAAAACATCCTGCAGGCCTTGACTCACAAATCCTCTGCAGTTTCGGTCTTTGCTATTTCTGCAGTCTCCACCTCCTGACCTGTGGTGCTCTTTGAGTACCTTGGCCCGGACAAAAGACCCTCAACGAAGGCCTGTAAAACACGAACGCTACAGCAAAGTCCCTTCCAGCCCCCCCCCCCTGAAACGGGCAGGCCCCTATCTTGAACCTTATTACAAAAAAGCCGGTACGTAGAAAAAAACCGTCTAGCAGGCTACGTATGCAGTACGATGAAGCTCGTCCAAACAGGGACCGAACCCTGAACCGCACGTCTGAAATCCGTAGTACTGCAATATATCTAAATCGTGTGACTTCAGACATATTCTTCAATCAAAGAACATACCTTACATCATAAGGGGCTTTATGATGTAATGGTACGACGTGGAGTATATTCCGTGACTGAAGTGTGATCAGGGGTTTATGGGTGGCGCTTGTATGAAGCCTAGGCTAGAAGCTCTAAGCAGCTTTGAGTTCGGAGGGGTCCCCTGTCGCGTCGGGGGTTGGACGGGGTTACTTGGAGGTTCATGGGTACCCATAGGCTCATCAGTAGTTCCTTTTTGGGATTACCTTATAGGATTCTAAATATAAACCGCAAAAAGGAACTACTTAGGAGCCTATGGGCAGTTATAAGTGGGGTTTTAAGTAGGGTAACTATATTTATCACCCATATTAAGGGACTTATAACCCTACGTATAACTACCCAGGAACCTCCAAGTACCCTTTAAATTAGAGGCCGAAGAACCTTCGGGATTGGGAGCTCGAGTTTCGGATAATGGAAGGTTAGCAGCCGGGGGAGTAGATCACCAGTCAATACTTGGACTCGTAGGGATATATAAGAAGGCCCTGTGCTGGAAGCATGGGGTTCAGGGCCCAGGGCCTAGAAATCGCTCCAGAGGCTCCAGGCGCTCCCCCCATTGAAAGACCTTGCAGGTTTCAGTCTTTCAATTTCAAACATCGGCTGATGTAGCAGTCGTCCGTTGTTGACGGGCATCACATTCTAGGTCCGGATTGGCTCCCGAGCACACAGCCACGGATCCCGAAAACCGCTGAAATCCGACCGACATCCGAGGTCCTAAACCCTAAACCCTAAACTCCAAACCCTTAACCCTAAACCCTGAAATCCAAACCCCAAACCATAAACCCCTCACAACCCCAAAAGCACTTGAAGGACCCTAAACCCCAAACCCTAACTAACCCAAAATCCTAAACCCTAAAGGCCCTAA